GTTTTACAATAGTACAAGTACTTGTTTTACAAACAGAATAGTCTTCACACGATCAGAAATTACATATATCTACAAGTAATTTTAAATGACCCCTTTTGTAAACTACAATTCTTGTTATTTTAATGAAAATGTTAATGAAATTGTACGATCATAAATCTTATAAAACATATTTTGCTAAAAATAAAAATATATCCCATGTATAATTGCGTTGTAATATGGTAAAATCTTATTTTCTAAAATTAAATGAATGTTCTTGTCAAAGAGAATTAAAAGTTAATCTAAAGAATTTTTAATATTTATTTTTAACATGTATAAAAATGTGTAGGTATAATACAAAAATGGTTTATCATCGATTTTATTTATAAAATTTTAGCTAAATATTTCATACTTCATTAGATTTTCTGTATTATTTCTCAACTTTTGAATAAAATAACTGAGTCCCACACTCGTATAGCGAAATATAAAAATTTTTCAAATATTGTTTAATTAAATAAGAATTGTAAACTTTCGTCAATCCTCATAATATACTTTACTCACCTTGTCGCATGAATTACCGATGAGGAGTCGGCAACATTAGTGCACTCATCAGAAATCATTTCAACTCTGGCATTATTCCTTGTGTTCACAGCTGCCTTTGAACACATAGTTGTAGCAACTGCACATTTAATCGTATTAAGGTATTTATGAGTCATATCACTAATCGCATTTGGATTTGTAAATGTTACAGGTTGAGCAATATTTGATCCAAATTTAGTGAACATATATGTATTCTCTAATGTATTTTCATCTATACCACTATCCTCTTTCAACAGGCATACATCTTCTTTCGAATGGGCTACGGAGTAAACTTTTGTACATATTGAGGAACATTCAGACTTAATTCCAGACTCATCGTTTTCTTGGAATTTTTGTTTGTTAAGAAAATGCGTGTTGTCCTGCATATTATGATGTGTAGAAAAATTGTTATCCTCGATTTTGGAAGCTTCATTGGTATTACAAATATTCTCTGTCTCTTCAGTAACGAGATTCATGCTTGAATTATTTTGAGGTAAAGCACAAAACGAGGTCTTTAACTTGACAGCATCTTGAGACCACTCATGGGGAATAATTTCCGTTGAGAGCTCTTCCATGGAACTCCCAGCGAGAGGAGAAATGTCAGCTATGTAAAATATAAGATCTTTGGGAATGGACTTATTATAGTCTGCTATACAAGAACACGTTCTGGATACAGGCGTGATGTCTGTCTTTCCAAACACATTGCCCGTGATACTTTCCATAAAAGGTAATCTAGTTTTCATCTCATTTACAGTACACATCTCCAAGTATTTGTTGCCCGCTATATCAAACGATTTCGTTATTTCTTGTATTCTTGGTGTATTTGTAACATATTCTTCATGACAAGTTGAAGTACTTAAATCTGCACTAGCATCACTAAAATCAAGATTAATATCATCGTACATAAAATTCTTCTTGGACATTCGTACTTTTGATTTTTCACTTGTCGAGATACTTTGCCAATCCATACTATTATTTACACGGCAAATATCTCTTCCTTCCGCTTGCTCGCTTGACGTATTCTGAATGTTTGTACAATCCATCTTACAATAATTGGTATCAATACTATGCATTTTGGTAACTTCATTGTTCAAACAATTTGTTCCTATATTTGCCTTTAACGCATTGTGATATGCAAGTGGTTTATTACTTATATTACAACCGCGTCTTTCTGTACATGCGAAACATGCCAAATGATTTTGCTTTTTATCTACATTGAAAACAAAATTATTCTTACCATCATGTTTCGGATATACGTTTAATAGAACTAAATTGTGCACTTTCTCAGGCATATTTACAGTATACGTATCATTTACATTCTTTCTATCATACATTATATTACAAGACAAGGAATTACTATCACTAGTAAAATTAATACTGTCCGTTAAAGTTTTATCACACGTTTCTTTTATCAGTATGGAATCTACCTTGCTCAGTACTTCCTCTATGTCTTCGATTTTTACATCACTTATAGTTGCTTCTAAAACTGGATATTCATATCTATCTACAAATTTAGAGAAAGGTGCGATCATCTTTCTCTCTGAAATACGTTTTAAGAAACTGTTATGTGTAATCTTTAAACAGTTATCCACCGCTATATTTGAAATAATATAATTTGCGGGTAATAGAAAATCTTTGTTAATAAGATCAGCATAATATTTTGATTGTATATTCTTGGGTACCAACTGATTATCCATAGTAAAAAGATTAATTTTTTGTCTTTCTATGTGAACCTTTAACTGTTTATTGTCATCGTTATGGTCAGTATTTCTACATTTTTGTTTCAGTAAAAGATTTACTTCGGTAACTGGTTTCGAATGAGACTTACCGCTCTGTTCAGAGACATTTAAATTATCTTCGAATTTAAATGACGGAAACATGTTCGTTATGCTTTTCAAGCTCAACATTTGAGAAATATTAAATGATTTTGTTAGTTTACTTTTTGACGATGCTGAAGAGTCTTCTGTTCTCTGACAGTTTCCAGTTTCTTCAGTTTTCTGACCCCTGTCTTTATCTTCTTTTAAGTAACAGTGTAATTTACTTTCAGTTGCCGCAAGACTGTTTACAGTACCTTGAAATGTACTCTTCAATTTCAATTGGCTGCTTGTGAAAAGACAACTAGGATTTTGAAATAGCGCAAGTAATTTCTCTAAATTCGGGGTATGTTTCTGAATGCAAGACTTTTGCTTCGTTTGTGCTTCTGTTCTATCGCTTAAAACAGTAGTTGCTAGTTTTTTGGTCGTATCTTGTTTGTCAATAAGAATCGGTTTATTATTCGCTAAAACAGTGGAATCTTTGTCACCTCTATTTACAATTGCAGATGTCTTTATTTCTTTGAAATCTTCATTACAATGACCCTCTGACAGTCCTGTGTTCTTTACCGTTGGAGTGCTTTCCAGTCGACTTGGAATATGAATTTCATTATTCTGTACATTAGTATGTTCCTTAACTTTCAGAGCGGTAGAATCTGTACTGTCATCTGATTGAATCTCAACAACAGCGTCGGTAAATTGTTGTTCGTTCTTCGATTGAATCGATTCATGCGTTGACGGTGTGCAGCTTTCTTCTACCTTATTCGAAATTAAATGAGACATCTTGCCTGACGCGTTATGGGAACTTTCATCGCTTCGAGTGTTATTCGTTTCTAATTTGGATCCGAATACGTCGACGGAGTCATCTGAATCAGTCGACTCCGCGCTATTGACTTTAAACTTTAAATCAAACGTAATGTCAGCCTTCGGCGAGGCAACAATAGGTTTATGCAAAATGGTATTTGCTGATTCAACAACAGAGACTCGAAATCTAGATGGCCCACTTGCAGAAGATGCGAGATAGGTAGATGATTCAAGGGAGAGAGTAACTGGTGACGAAGATGCTGAGGATTCTGTAGAACATAATGATGTTTCTGGCACTCGGGACACCACAAATCGACTTCGTGAAGGACTTGGTATCGGGCTCGCTATAGGTGAAGAGGCTGGACTAAGGGCTGGGGAACGTAGACGACCTCCATTGATACGTTTCGGTTCGAGCATCGTTTGCCCTGGTACGTTATTTCGTATCGAAATCACGGTTGATAAAGAACATGGAAGTGTTTGACAAGTAAGCGAAATTTTACGAGAATTTGTACTACAGAGGATGCTATGACGTGAATTTTCAGAACCTTCGTTGTTTTCTTCTATAATACGATTCTGCTCGTTTTCCGAGCAACAGACTTGAATCTCAGTTAAAAGCTGCGTGTATAAGGTCTGGTCTGGGTCATCCTGTTGTTAACACAAAACGAACAGTATTAATGATATAAATATTTCTTTATCTCATGATGGAATTTATAATTTTGCTTACTGCTTTTTGTCTGAGCTTATCATCCAAATCTATTTTAGTGATGCTTTTGTTTGTTTTCATAGCAGCATTAAGGGCTGTTAATCCAGTCAGTCGTACATCATTATTTCGTAAATCTATCCTCTACAATAATAACACAGATATATATGTAGTGTGAAGTAATCTTTCATATTATTATAAAATGAAGCGCCTAATATTTACTTGCAAAACCTGATTTGTTCCAATAATTTCTGACAATGCAACAACACCATCGCACGTGAGTTCAGTTGATTGTATTCCCAATTGTAATAAAGTACGGTTCTTCGTCAATGCATCTTTTACAGCAAATATTAATTCATCGGACAACATGTTCTTTCCGACGTTTAATGTTTCTAACGTTTTAGACATTGCCTATGCGCATAAATAGAAACGTATAATATATATAACACACAATCTAACTGTACCATACTATAAAAATACATGAAATTACATACTATAATTCGTGCGAAATAGGGAGACGAGCTTTTTGTAAGTTGATTGTTCCATAACACTAATATGCTTAAGCCTTTACCGCTCTTATCTTCATGTATTTGATTAATAAGTCCTTCAAGGATATCACGTACACCATCATCTTGGATGTTATTATTGCTGAAAGAAAAATTAAATTAGTAATAGCAAATATAACTTTTTTTCATAGTTACGTATTTTTTTTAAACAATACATACCTAATATCAAGTAGTTGTATATGATTATTTACCCTAAGAAGAGAACCAAGTTGTATTGCGTCGTACAAATTAAGTCTATTGTCAGCTAAATACAGTTCCCTTATTCCAGTATTCACTTTCAGCGCTGAAACTGATAGAAGAGAAATACACTTTTAGAAATTATTATCTCCCTAAAGATTTTTTCATTAAACTTAATGAATTTTGCTTTTAAAACATGAAACCAAAAGTATTTATGTGAATATACTCTTTATTCTAAAGAATGATCATAGTTAATGTGTAAATTATATATAATGTTTAAATTTATAAGTACAATGTTCTAATTATTTGTGGACGTGTGATTGTAGGTGAGAATATTTTATGTCTGTTTCGAAGTGGATCTATAGTAAAACTATCAAACTGTATCACATAATAAATACCTAGTGTGACGATACATCTTCCTGAAAGTCCACAATTTTCTAATTTTAGCACATGTAGATGGCAGATTAATCGCAATGCACGACTCAAGATATTCATGTGCTGTTCATCAAGTATTACATCCTTAGCTTCAAGATGTTCTAAACATTGGGTCTAGACAAACAATAGTTATATTAATTATGTATTCAATAATAAAAAAGAAAAAGGAATTTATAATGCTTATATTTTTACTATTATCCTACATGCATATTACTACATTTTTAATGACAATAATAATAGCCTAGAACAGTCTCTTATTTACAAAGAAATATATTATGCATACCTTTCTTATCATACTAGCACATGCATGCCACCCATATTCGCCAATGCCTTGATTAGATGAAATATTCAACTGTCTTGCAGACTCATAATACTCTAACATATCAAATAATATCACAGAACTCTGTAATTGAAGAGAGAAAGAAATATTAATAAATATCCAAAAGAATAAATCGTAAATTAACAATGTACCTCATCATTCAAAGATGTTGCTTCTAAATCAACTTTATGAAATTGAATTCTTTTAAGAACTTCTTCCAATGCTTCACAGTCATTAGGATCTAATATTTGTCCTCTTAATGTAAGTTCTTCAGAATGTGTTTGGGATGTATCTAAAGTCTGCATTGAAAATGGTTATTTAATATTGATTCCAATGTGTGACATTATAATTTGAATGTTAAAGAGCTTGATATGTGAGTAAATATCCTACAATAATTTTCTGTTTCTTGTATGTGTACTTTGAAACTAATAATTTTAAGTAATCTACAAAAGTACAATACATTTAAAGTTCATGACTTTGACTGAGACAATAAAGTTGGAACATCTGCAGTCTTGAACTTTATGCTGAATTATGTCAAATTAAATATTGCTAATCCTTTAGCTAATGAATCAAGACTATTGCTCTAAAACTTTAATATTTTATCTTCTTAAATTATTAGTATAAAATGCAATAATTGAAAGAAAATAATATTTTTACCTGAAGTTGGCTTACAACAATTTCCAAAGGATCAGTATTATGTTTTACACAGGATTCCTTGTATGCTGAGATTAAATCATCACGGTTCACATTTTCAGCTGTGAACAATTAATTGATAGATTGTTAGAACATAAAAAAAAGCTTTAACTAACACTATTAGAATTAAATGATTGATGGAAGATGTTTTTAAAGAATTGTAGAATATTAATACACTTAAACCTACTCGATACTAAGTACTGCTAGCAATACAGTTTAGAAACTGAATTTAGAACATTAATTTATATTTTTCTTTTATAAACGTAATATTTCTTAACACGTTCGCTGCGGTATTCATTGGTGACTCACCAAGTTTTTCATTTGTAGCAAGGACTTGATCATTAACTAGTGTCTATATTTCCATGAATGTTCACCTCACTATCACAACAAAGCAAGTTGATAAATTTGACCCTGGAAGGAAAGGATCAAGACAAAATAAACTCAGCATCTTTCTTTTAAGAATCTAACCAAATATTTACTTGCATTTTATTTATAACGTAAATATAAATCACATTTTAAAAATTAAATATATTTGATTTAGTTTCATAATTAAATTTCTTATGATTTTACAAGCTAAATTTCATCTTCTTTTCATATTTTCCACAGAGAACGTATTAATATAATAATGTAAAAACAAAACTAGCACGTAGGTGGGAATAAAATGTTTTCCTTCAATTACACTTATAAATTGATTGGGCTTTATTTCATTCAGATTTTGGATGCAATTTATTAATTTTTACATAAAATACACTTTCAAGTAATCAACTGTGTCTAAATACAATATAATTAAATTATCAATACCCTTATTAATAAAATCTACTTCGTAAAGAGTATTGTACTTTAAGAGTAACTTACAAGAGATGTGTATAAGAGACAGCTTTCAAGTAATCAACTGTGTCTAAATACAATATAATTAAATTATCAATACCCTTATTAATAAAATCTACTTCGTAAAGAGTATTGTACTTTAAGAGTAACTTACAAGAGATGTGTATAAGAGACAGCTTTCAAGTAATCAACTGTGTCTAAATACAATATAATTAAATTATCAATACCCTTATTAATAAAATCTACTTCGTAAAGAGTATTGTACTTTAAGAGTAACTTACAAGAGATGTGTATAAGAGACAGCTTTCAAGTAATCAACTGTGTCTAAATACAATATAATTAAATTATCAATACCCTTATTAATAAAATCTACTTCGTAAAGAGTATTGTACTTTAAGAGTAACTTACAAGAGATGTGTATAAGAGACAGCTTTCAAGTAATCAACTGTGTCTAAATACAATATAATTAAATTATCAATACCCTTATTAATAAAATCTACTTCGTAAAGAGTATTGTACTTTAAGAGTAACTTACAAGAGATGTGTATAAGAGACAGCTTTCAAGTAATCAACTGTGTCTAAATACAATATAATTAAATTATCAATACCCTTATTAATAAAATCTACTTCGTAAAGAGTATTGTACTTTAAGAGTAACTTACAAGAGATGTGTATAAGAGACAGCTTTCAAGTAATCAACTGTGTCTAAATACAATATAATTAAATTATCAATACCCTTATTAATAAAATCTACTTCGTAAAGAGTATTGTACTTTAAGAGTAACTTACAAGAGATGTGTATAAGAGACAGCTTTCAAGTAATCAACTGTGTCTAAATACAATATAATTAAATTATCAATACCCTTATTAATAAAATCTACTTCGTAAAGAGTATTGTACTTTAAGAGTAACTTACAAGAGATGTGTATAAGAGACAGCTTTCAAGTAATCAACTGTGTCTAAATACAATATAATTAAATTATCAATACCCTTATTAATAAAATCTACTTCGTAAAGAGTATTGTACTTTAAGAGTAACTTACAAGAGATGTGTATAAGAGACAGCTTTCAAGTAATCAACTGTGTCTAAATACAATATAATTAAATTATCAATACCCTTATTAATAAAATCTACTTCGTAAAGAGTATTGTACTTTAAGAGTAACTTACAAGAGATGTGTATAAGAGACAGCTTTCAAGTAATCAACTGTGTCTAAATACAATATAATTAAATTATCAATACCCTTATTAATAAAATCTACTTCGTAAAGAGTATTGTACTTTAAGAGTAACTTACAAGAGATGTGTATAAGAGACAGCTTTCAAGTAATCAACTGTGTCTAAATACAATATAATTAAATTATCAATACCCTTATTAATAAAATCTACTTCGTAAAGAGTATTGTACTTTAAGAGTAACTTACAAGAGATGTGTATAAGAGACAGCTTTCAAGTAATCAACTGTGTCTAAATACAATATAATTAAATTATCAATACCCTTATTAATAAAATCTACTTCGTAAAGAGTATTGTACTTTAAGAGTAACTTACAAGAGATGTGTATAAGAGACAGCTTTCAAGTAATCAACTGTGTCTAAATACAATATAATTAAATTATCAATACCCTTATTAATAAAATCTACTTCGTAAAGAGTATTGTACTTTAAGAGTAACTTACAAGAGATGTGTATAAGAGACAGCTTTCAAGTAATCAACTGTGTCTAAATACAATATAATTAAATTATCAATACCCTTATTAATAAAATCTACTTCGTAAAGAGTATTGTACTTTAAGAGTAACTTACAAGAGATGTGTATAAGAGACAGCTTTCAAGTAATCAACTGTGTCTAAATACAATATAATTAAATTATCAATACCCTTATTAATAAAATCTACTTCGTAAAGAGTATTGTACTTTAAGAGTAACTTACAAGAGATGTGTATAAGAGACAGCTTTCAAGTAATCAACTGTGTCTAAATACAATATAATTAAATTATCAATACCCTTATTAATAAAATCTACTTCGTAAAGAGTATTGTACTTTAAGAGTAACTTACAAGAGATGTGTATAAGAGACAGCTTTCAAGTAATCAACTGTGTCTAAATACAATATAATTAAATTATCAATACCCTTATTAATAAAATCTACTTCGTAAAGAGTATTGTACTTTAAGAGTAACTTACAAGAGATGTGTATAAGAGACAGCTTTCAAGTAATCAACTGTGTCTAAATACAATATAATTAAATTATCAATACCCTTATTAATAAAATCTACTTCGTAAAGAGTATTGTACTTTAAGAGTAACTTACAAGAGATGTGTATAAGAGACAGCTTTCAAGTAATCAACTGTGTCTAAATACAATATAATTAAATTATCAATACCCTTATTAATAAAATCTACTTCGTAAAGAGTATTGTACTTTAAGAGTAACTTACAAGAGATGTGTATAAGAGACAGGTATTGTGTGAAATCTAATAAAATTTGTATAATAAAACGCCAAATTAAAAATTTAAGTATTTCTTAGAATATTTAGTACTCTTTCTTAAATGCTATTTGAAACGTATCCACAGATATTTCTCTCGAATGTTTACTAAACTGCAAAATTTTCACTCGATGTTTGAACAATTTGGATGAAAAGTACTATCTTTGTTGTCGATTGTAACTTCTAAATGGAATATTTTTAAACAAGAATATATCTTCCATTGTCATTCTTTCAATAGTTTTAACTGATAGATTTCCTGATTGGTTGAATACTTAAGTTACAAATGTCCTTAGATATTGAAACAACTTTGAACCATAGAAATTCTGAAATATTTTCAAATATTCATGAGTATAAGTCAGCTATCATAAACTAAACACTCATTGTCTCCGATGATAAGCTCTACAGGTTTCTACCAGATGAGCTTCATGTTACTATAATTATGAGTAGGAAAAGTAAATTGACAAAATGCATTTCTATCGAGGCATGAATGTGAAAGTTGTTTAGAAGTTAAGACGTTGTTCTTACCAAGTATCCAAGGATTGGCAGGCTCCAGACATCCCGTAACCAAAAGATTGTCATTTTCAGGAAAACTCACTCGTCGCGGAGGTCGTTTCTTGGTGAAAGCCAACGAACTACGTAATTTTTTCCCATCGATTAGTATATATGGGGAAAGCGGAATATTGCTTAAGCAGAACCGTGGCCTCCTGGTATTGTGCGATATTATTCGTGGAGGAAGTTTTTCAGGATCAACTTCCTCAGGATCAACTTTCAAGGTCGTAAGCGAATTTTCGCAGATCGACGTTACTGAATCCGCTCCTTCGCTCATATTAACGAAATTTCTAACACATTTTGCCAGTTAAAATTTCCACCACACTATGCACAACACGCGCGCATATATAGCCCACGGTAATGTGTCAATTGGACTGTTCGGAGGAATCGTTTAACACGCGTATCGAAGCAAACGTCAGCTACCCGTGCATTACATCCGCCATCTTTATTACTGTGTAACAAGTCGACAACTACGAGACCCAAGCGTAACTAGAATCATAAAGCCTCTTTCACGGGATTATAAAGCTAACCGTGTTTTCGTACATTGTAATTACACGCATCGATCAAATTAATCGAAATCATTTTATAATCGGGAAATAATCCGATGAAAAAATATGTGATGGTTTACATACACAGTTTGTAGTATGCATCATCGATGACGTTTAAAATTTACCCATCTACGAAGATGCGACTAGATCAATCAATAATTATTTGTGCTCTAAACGTAATAATCCTACCGGCGTTAGATTAATGTTACTTTTGACAAACTACGAAAAGAAAGATATTGTATTTGTAGATTAAACGGTCAGTCACGCAGATAAGTAGAATAATGGATCCATAACAGATTAATAGCAAGTACGAATTGCAGCTGTAAAACCATGAAAACTCATCTTCGTTGTTATTGGTTGACTGCTGGCTACTGTAAAAAATATCAACCAATTGTTAAATGACGTCCACGCCGGTGGGAGTACGAAAATGCAGTTACGAAAGTGAGAAAACCTTGCAGTTGTAAAGCGATTATTATATTAAATATCACAGAGTACATTTACCATAAATACCCTGTAACGCGATCAACAAAGTTTTGCCTTTGTAACAATTCTATATACATACATAGTAGATACATATATGTGGTACTAAACTGCAATAAGTTTTAAAAAAATACCCATACGCCTGATGACAGCTAACCCGCATATCTTCAATATATGTAAAAACAAAAGGATCTCTGTTTGCGCGGTCATTATAATTTATGTATTTACAGCTTATATCCAAACATGTTTTTACATGAACTTCGCTCATTGATTTATAAACATATGTAGGTCAGCTTTTTTAACACAACAGTTGACAGTATAAGCTATAATTAAAGCTTACCAATAACAACCCACGAGCCATGTCTCTGTCTTTGTCTCTCACACGATACTGTATACGTATCTATATTACTGACAGCACTTCTTATTCTGTTGATTTATACTCGCCACTATTGGTAAATCTTTAATTATTTATAATTAAAATGCAAAGCCAAAAGATTAACTTTTTTCAATTTTATATCGTCACGAAAGCGAAAAATGTTTTGCCACCTGTTATCGCAAACCCTGTATAACGTAGCTGTACATTCTTTTGAAATGATTAAATTCTGTGAAAATTATTTTAACATGAATGTATAAAATAAGTCTAAATATAAATGAATCAAAGATAAAAGTATTACAATATATCTGGCATTCACTTTATGTGTAAGTACATAGCATACATTGTAGGTTATTATGTACATTTACTTGCGTCTTATGTTATTTTTCAGTGAACTCACCTTTATGTCATTAAGCATGTACATCCATTATGCGTCAACGTTTTAATAAAACTTGTGTCCTGGTTGTTTAAAAAACTTTTGCTCCTGCAAATTTCTGAAAATACACGCAATTCGAGAAAATAATAATTTTGAAATTCGTGAACATCGCAATTGAAATTAAACAAGCCATACGAGGAAGAAATATATTCCCTGAATTACATAAATGGTAGAGATATTTTTTTCTCTGTCTGACCGGTCCAAAATTTGACAGAAACGTTGATTTCCTTATACGGTTACACGAAGAAAGAATCGGTAAGAATTGCCCTTTTTCTAGTAAGTATTTCTGTGAAAATTATGTACAATACTTAACATGAAATAATTAATTTAAGTCATATATGTCCATAAAATTTGTATTTATTGTCTTATAAATAAAATAATTTGTTTTGTATTATTACATTCTTTCTCATGTCACATGTAAGCATTGTACATACCATTTATATTTAAATAATATTATCAGTTATTATAGTTTATATTATATATATATTTATATATTTATATTATAGTTTGTTCAAATTTTATTTTTAGAGATGGAAGCTGTTTTACAACAAAAAGTAAGAGAGGTAACAAAATGTATTGAAAAACAGTTGGATGATGAAATAGAAAAATTGGACAATTTAGATATTAACGACTTTGAAAAATTGCGTGAAGCCCGATTGAAAAAATTAAAATTACTTCAGCAACAAAAACAAAATTGGTTGACACTGGTAATATATTTTGTTTGGCTATTTAGGTCTCTTTTAATGTTTTTGGAAACTGAATTCATTCCAAAATGATCGCACATTTTGTTACAATAGGGTCATGGAGAGTATTTAGAGGTACACGATGAGAAGGAATTTTTTGACGTGTCAAAAAAATCTCAGAATATTGTTTGCTTGTTTTACAAAGACGATTCACCCAGATGCAAGATAGTAGATCATCATCTCAAAATTCTTGCAAAAAAACATATAGAAGCAAGATTTTGTAGGCTAAACGTGGAGCGGTGTCCATTTTTAACTGGTAATTCCTAGATTATTCACAAACTATAACCACTGCTTATGAAATGTTTTAGTATTAAGATAAAAATTAATTCTTTTATTTCCAGAACGCTTAAGAATTAAAATCATTCCTACAATTGCCCTTATTGTACATAGTAAAACTAAAGATTATATTGTGGGATTTACAGAATTAGGAAATTGTGATGATTTTTCGACAGAAACATTGGAGTACAGAATTTCACTTTCTGGTGTAATACAATATGAAGATACCTACTCTTCAGAAAATAATAGAAAGCCATGGTTATCACAAGTTGTAAAGCCTAAAACGATTAAAGGATCTAATACTGCAAATTCAGATGATTC